TCTAGGAAATGGTTTAACTTTGTTTGTTTTGATCGCACCTGTAAGCTTTGTGGTTGTTACCATTCACTGATATTCATCTAGAATCAGAGAACACTAGAACTGGAAAGGACCTCGAGAGGTCATCGAGTCCAGTCCCCTGCCCTCACGGCGGGACCAAGCACTGTCTTGGCCAGTGTTTCTTAAACTTTTTGAGACCATGGAACACCAAACAATATTATTTTCTTATGCAGAGCACCTACGGAAATTTCCTTACAAAAACAAACCTGTTGTCAGACAGACAAAAAAGTAACAAACAAAGAGGTCGCCGCACACCTGCGAGTTGTTAACGGAACACCAGTGTTCCATTGAACATAGCTTAAGAAACACTAGTCTAGACCATCCCTGATAGATGTCTGTCTAATCTGCTCTTAAATATCTCCAGAGATGGAGATTCTACAACCTCCCTAGGCAATTTATTCCAGTGTTTAACCACCCTGATAGTTGGGAAGCTTTTCTTAATGTCCAACCTAAACTTCCCATGCTGCAGTTTAAGCCCATTGCTTCTTGTCCTATCCTCAGAGGCCAAGGAGAACAATTTTGCTCCCTCCTCCTTGTGACACCCTTTTAGATACTTGAAAACCGCTATCATGTCCCCTCTCAGTCTTCTCCTTTCCAAACTAAATAAGCCCAGTTCTTTAAATCTTCCCTCATAGCTCATGTTCTCTAGACTGTTAATCATTCTTGCTGCTCTTATCTAGACCTTCTCCAATTTCTCCACATCCTTCTTGAAATGTGGTGCCCAGAACTGGACACAATACTCTGAGGCCAATACTCTCCAACAGCACAGAGTAGAGCAGAAGAATGATACTGTGCTACAGTACTATCTGAGCAGGCCCACTTGCTTCATTTAGTCAGTAGTTTGTTTCTCTGTTTCTGGTTTTGAAAAACAGTAAAATAAATGTTATAGTTGTGACAGTTGCTGAATTTACTGCCTGAAGATAGAAGTCTGCTATTTACTTACAGCAGGAGTACAGCCTTTTCTGGAGAGGTAATCCCTAGGATGAGAGGGTAGTTTGATCTCCATGGATATTCAGTAAACAAGACTAAAATTAGCTACACACATTTAGGATTCCTGTCTTGTCAGTAGATTCTTAGCTAATGTTACTAGATGGTGGTGTGCTACTGTGATAGTGGCAGTCCAGTTAAGTCTCTGAATTGTCAAACCTTGGTGAATTGAATGGCATTCAGGCTCTTCTAAGTAAGGATTATCTGTGAGCCCTACTAACTTCATTTGGTCTCTTTGCTTTGTAGAAACTGACCGAACGCTTACCATGTGTAAATCCAACTCCCTCTCCTGTCTTCTCTGAGGTGCATTTGCCTCCTACTGTGCCTTCTATTCCAACCATTGTGCCAGCTTGGCAAAATGAGCCAACTTATGGACCAACAGGTTTGAAGAAATATTCTTTGGTCTACTTCAGAGACTTAACACTTCTCATTCAAAGTGGTCTGTGTGTGAAAATGACTTAAAATTGTCTGTGGGTGGGTTTTGAAAAGCAGACCTTGAATGATAATTAGATGCTCAGCTCTTAGCTGCTTTTGAAAATTCCCTTCGTCTTTAGTTGTCTATATAAACATGTCATTGCTATTCTCGGACTCTTAAGCAGGAGAAGGGGGAAGTATTAGCTGCCCGTTATTTTGAAATATTTTTTGAAATAACGGACGCACTATTTCGGCATCCTGGCAACCCTCGTTCCAGCGTGCTATTTCAAAATGGATTTGAAATAAGATACGTAATTTGCATAGCTCAAATTGAATATCTTACTTTGAGTTTAGAGTGCGACATAGACCTTAGGGTGCATCTACACAACATCCTTATTTTGAGGTAATTTTGAAATAAAGCGCTATTATGAAACATTCTTGTGCAATGAGGTTTACAGGGACATCAGAATAGTGAGCCCGTTATATTTCAATTTCGGGCTTGCTCTTAAGACACAGAATAGCTATTTCAGAATGCCCTTAGAGATTCAGCTGTAAGATTCAATTCCCTTTTGTCTTCAGTCATGTTTTGTTTTTGTTTTTTTAAATAATATGAGCGATAAGATTTTTGTTTTACAGTCACTTCCTGAAAATTATTGTTTTGAGACTTAGTTTTTCTTCAGCTTCATTTCAGGACTTGTAGCCTTTTGTATCACCATAAATAATTTATCTTCCTGATGTTTTAATCCTTTAGAGAGAGATAAGATAGCAACTAATGTACTTTAATCA